ATATATACGTTCCCGCATCTAAGAGCTGTTAAATCTTTAACAAGAAGGTTCCTGTTCCAAAGAAATCTTAGGTCAATGACATTATCTTTGTCCTGAGAAAAATTTTGAAACTTCTAAAAAATGCGTTGCACTCATGAAAACATTCCCTCCTGCGATAAGTCCTGCACAGAACTAAGCTGATAGCATCATATACCAGAAGTTCTATTTTTCTTTTCTCCATCATTGATGAAAACATAGTAGACGCAGTTCATCAAAAAAGATGAAGAGAACCAAAAACAATGACTATAAGATTGTTGCATACAAAGGAATCATAAGCCCACTTCTTATTTAGATTATGTATTAGTGTATGGGGAAATTTTCTGCTTCCAAAGACAAACTTTTCAGAGGACTATTTATGAGCCATCCTAAAGTTGGTCCTACAATCACAAATACAATACCTAAACAAGCTTGCGTGCGCCCCCACCCACAACCCAATGACTCCGCCGCACCACCAACTAAGCCCTCCATCCCACCAACCATTTTAGGCTGGGACACACACTACTGCACGTCGTGGTAAGAAACGTTCGGCCCGTAAAATTAATACTACTAGAATACGAAAATCTTCGTCCCACATCTTCAATTGGAATCTGTTCGATGTGCCAATGGTGCATCTACAACCTCAAGTGGTGCTATCCACGGTTACTTTTTGGATTGCACATCACTCGTCTAGTTCCGATCCACGAGCTAGGAACTGAGGAAATGCTCGGCGAGTAACCTCCGAGCCCCGAAGAGCAAACGATCACGGACGACCCTACTTCCCATTTGTCCATGATATGCAGATAGCAGTTATGAGGACTAGAAAATACATAAACTTCTGCGGCATGTACTCGACGCAAAAATCAACGTTGATGTCTGGATTACAGAAGTGTAAGCAGGGTAAACAGATATATTAAACATAAACTGCTGCAAATGCTGACTGCTGAGTCATTCTTACCAACAACCCATCCGAACGCGGTCACAATTAATTATGAGGTCACTCTGAAGAAGCAGTCTCGAAACATAGCAAATTTCAAATATTATGAGAACATGAAACTGCTTATCTGTGCATGCAAGGATGGAAAATAACTGTATGTTAACGCAATTTATATGTAATTGGAATGAATTTAATAACAATGACAGATAAGTACTCCTGAAGTCGCTGAAACCAAAAATATACACAGTTCTATTAAAGCACAAAATTAGCACAGTTAAGACCCGACAAAAACAACAAAAAAAAAACGACGTAGTATTGATCAATTACAGGCATCTGTGGTTTCAGTACCAACAGGTTTACATGCGGTAGAGGCGCTTCGGTTTCCCATCATCGCTTGTTCCATGATATGATCGACTTGGCCCTGGACGGTCATCATCCTGAAATTCATTGTTTAAAAAAATTGATGCTAATAATTAAAATATGATATGGACAGTAAGTGTCTCTCCTTTATTTATGAACACATTTCAATTATCTTATCATTCATTAAACTTCTTTAGCCTTTAGAAAGAATTTTACAGTTAGCAGGATCGTTTTGATCTATCCTTGCTATCAGAAATTCCAAATCCCTGATAGCAAGGATAGGTCAAAACGACTAATAGAGCTAGATTACTGCACAAAATACATGTCACCTCCTCCTCATCATCATCATTCAAAGACATTTGATTCATGTCCTCATTGATGAGATCAACTTTCGACTGGTCCACCTTCTCCTTTTCTGAAAATACAAAGTATAATAACGTTTAAATGCTACTGAATTCCTGATTTCCATCCAGATCCAAAAAACTATCACACCACAACGACATAATACGATTTAAGAAGAATGAATACCTTGGTGAGCGCCACCCTTATAGCCGTCTTCGTGGTTAGCAAAAGAGTCCTCGGTATCTGACATATAGGTGCCGTATTCATCATCTAACCCGTAATATACGTCCATATCCATCAGCGTGTGGAAACCGCCTAAAACTATTCCAAATGAATGATGGAAAGTTAATATTTTATAAAAAATCGTTAATCTTGAAATTCTTGGACGACTGGCAAATCTGACTTCTGTGCAATGTGACTTCCGAAAGCCAATGAAAAAATTTCAAACCACTAACACTTTTATAGCAGTTTGAAATACGAATACAGAATTACCATATGCAATATCCCTATCCTTTTTACACATGCTTCCAGAAACGCCTCTTCCACGCGCTTTGCGATCCGCTTTCGCCTGTTTAATTTTAGCAGATATCAGCGAATCTTTCTTTGTCTTATCGGCAGATTTTGCTGAAAATGAAATATTGAAATATGATCATGCATTACAGTTATTTCACACAAAACACTTTGTATCCTTCTTCGAATGAAAGAATAACAGTAACGATTATCATTAACTACTGAATAGTTAGTTAAATCATATCAATAACATCTTTCTTTGAGTTACACGATGCAGATCAAATCACTTCTGATACGCTTTTTCTGTTAAAGCTATAATTTTTTAAAGCAAGTTCAATACTTTGAATATAATAGTATTGCTTTTGATTTAAAACTAGGCACTTACATTCAGCCCCTCCGCCAGCTGCTATTGAAAGACTTCCTCCGCCAATCAAATTCATGTCGAATTCAGTACCATGCTCCAGAGCATACTCCTTTTCAGCAATCAACTCCGGATCAGTGATATCGCCATCGTCTTCCTCTCCATTATCCGATAAGCGACCCTCCCACGAAGCGGTCGAAAACTCCTGCAAATATGGAAAGGATTGTATTGGCGTCATACACCGAAAGAAATTGTCAGTCCCAAAGATTGAAACATTTATCTTCTAGCACTTGAAACGCTCTGCTTAATAAACAGACCTTGTTCGGAGGCTTCTTGTAATTATCGCGCTTGTCTTGTTCTTTTCCAGACGGCATCGAGTTTTTACGGTTCTCTGAAAAGACATTTACGAAAGTCTCAAGAATTAAAAAAAGAAAATCTTTTCCTCTATTCGTCATCAGTCACTCTTTAGCTGACATTTATATGGAAATGAATCAGCTTATCCAAACATATCACCAATCGATTGACCAAGATGATCACGATAGAATATTGTTTGATGCATAAATGTAAACCTTTGACAAATCAGCGAGGCAGACGAGATTCGAGCCAATAACAATTTAGGGAATAAAGCGTATTAACCAAAAAATGTACGGAAACCACATTTTAACGGTGATGGGACGTTAGTGCAAATGGGTTCTTAAAGCCGACAGACATTTCGATTTATCGCAGACTATTGCGTTCTATACTTGGGAAATAACTGGAAATGATGCTGTGGATGCTATTTGAAACGTTCAAAACTGCTGCAACATTAAATGTCATCACTAGTTATATGGAGAATATCGCAGGAAACAATGTTAATCAAAGGTATGATGTTCTGTGTTTGAAAAGATAGCGCAAGATAATAACAGCTTTAAGAAAAAATGGAATTCGCACCAGCAAAGAAATAAGAAATCTAAAAAAAATCCAGATTCGAAAGTCGAGATGTTATGTTTGGTGACGATGTAATTAACAAATAGATTAATTGAAAAACTATAGAAATGCGAAACAATATTTTGGAATAATTCAAATTTTTAATTTTTCTCGTAGATCGACTAAAAGCAAACAAGGAATAAGCGAAGATGGATCATCCATTGTATGAATTATATGAAAAGAATTGCATGAAAAGAGAAACATTGTCAAAGAAAACGAAAAAAAATGACAAGCAAACGAAATCGAAGGTAGAATTTGAACGTCGTCACTGAGTTATGCTGAAAGTGAAGAAAAAGTTGTTGGCTGAACTGTGGCACAGTTGGACGAAAAGTATGAATGACAAAACAAACCCTGTTGTACGGTTATTCAAAAGACGAATGGTATGTCTACAACGTTTCTTGAAATGGTTAAAAGATTGAAAAGTATTGATTGGCTGGAAATTATCACACAAAAATGACGGGTCAATGAATACCTAAACCCTTGTCCGCAAAATGAAGCAGAAACAACTTTGACTGAATCGCCTTTCCTAACACCCTCTCACCTCATCATTACTTGCTTCAGGAATACATACACACCGGAACACCAAAATGAATACGCACACAAATACCTACCATAACTCAACACGCGTGAATAACCCAACTACAATGATCCCGTACCACACGCGCGCTCCTTATTATCCCTCTTCTCATTGCAGATTACGCCACCGGTAAAGTGCGGCTCGCCCAGAAAAAAAACAGACCTCACTACTCAGGAAAACAAGGGAGTGACTGTAGGAAGAGAGGAGGGACACGTATTGTATCATTTAAGAGAAGAATGGAGCGTGACAGCTTAGCAAAATGCTTTACGAAATTGGAACGGAAACATTCCGTTATCCAATGTTGTGGAGCGAATCGCGAATTATTTCCATCTGCTAAGTAAGATCTTCTGTGGATTTCTTCCCTGACACAATACCGCTAATCGGTTTTGACTCATTAATTACTCTCTTCCTGAACTTACTGTGTTCTTACCATCATCTAGCACCGAATTGGTTACTTTCAATGGTCCATTTTGTTCAGGTTCGTTTTCCCCTCTCTGCTTTATGGGTCTGTCTCCTACTCCGTTTATAGACCCAACCCGCCGTAGTGCTAATTCTTATTTTTAAAAGATTTGTAAAAATTAATCTCTCCATGAATTCAAGAACGCCAAACGTCTGATTGAAGTCTCTTATGCAGAAATTTCGCAGATTTGTAAACGTCAACAGAGGATCGTGAAGATCATCCGAAAATACTATGCCAATTTTTTCTGACATACCTATCTCCAAAATACGCTGATTGAATGAAAAGAATATTTATAAAGCAGGTGGTAGTTATAAGAAAATAGAAGCTGCATGTCAAGATTGATTAAGGAATATATCAACCGGGCATTCGTATCAATAGTTGAGGTTTTTCTAGAAAATCTGACTTGAATCGGAAAAGATGGAAAGGAGTAAAGGAAATGAACAACGTTGTGAGCCTTTATCGTTTGATGAAACCCGTCCTCAAAGCTCATTTCCCGAATGAAACCACTCGTTGTCATGTCAGAAGTTAAAGTGTGCGCGCAGTCAATCTATGCTTGATTTTGTGGCGTCTAAATTTGCATATCGATTGGTTGCAAAATAAGATCGATAGTTAAAAATTTGCATGCACACCACAGTTTGAGGTATTCTTCGCTTACGCTATGATTTGCAGTCCATCACATTTTCTTGAATGCAGGGGTTTTCCAAATTATAAAAACTACCAGATAATAGGAGCTTTGATCTCTTATCCGCTTACTTCCTCATACGAGTAAGTGAATTCAATGTTTCAGAAGTTTTTGTTTCTTTACAAATTATTTCTCTAGAAGGAAAAAAGTCTGGAATAGTGTTCCTGCGGATAGAGAGATCGATCATCTGTAGAAATCTCTAAAAAAATTGACAGATTTCTGATTATAGGAGTTATAATAAATTTTGATTTATCTGGAAGGTTGACGAAGCTTTGTATGTGGGCTTACCTGCTCTGAAGACATCTGAAGAAACAATAAGCCTCAAATTTACAGTTTCCCGGAGTAGTTAAGCATGTTTGTTTAGTGCAATATTCGGCAAATTTCTTATTGAGATATGTTAGGCGTCCGGAAATTTCGTGTTTGGCTGGCAGATGAAATTTCAACTTTTCTTTTTTCCATGGCCAGTATGATTGGCCAATCCTTTACTCACCATGCTTTTATGAAATCTGAAGAAATTTTGCACTCTTGTTTTTTGCAGATTGAAAAGATGGGATTAAAATGAAATAGTAGATTTGTGCTTCTTAATGCAATCATAATATTGTGTAATGTGGGAATAATTTTTCTGACCAAAAACCAATGCATATATACCTTATTTTTTCCAAAGCATAACGTCAAGCCTTCGACAGAGTGGCAGGAATTTTCAAATTTCCCGCTGGGAAGTGTACAAAAGCTTTAGACATAAATCTATCAATTTTGTTTAGTGCCGAGAGATAGCTGATTTGTGTTTCAAGCGAAATGTTTTAAAAGCGGTGTAACGAAATAAGCATTACTTGAGCAGCTGCTACTTCAGGTTGCTGCTCTGTCAGAGCCGCTGGTAGAGCAGTCCAACCTTCGGATGTGCTATAATGCTCACCAGTTCTGCATTATCTGGTTTTGTTGCTTCTATATGGAATCTAAATAAAGTCGTTGTTTGAACGCAAAATTTATTTCTCATTAGTTACAATATTATGAAAAATTATTCAAGAATGAATTGTTTCCGGTTTGGTTGCCAATGAATGAGTGGGTGAAAGACCATTCTCTCTCGCTTGTTGAATTTAGTGAAAGAGATCAAGTTATTTCATGAAAGAATCTGAATAAGGTAGGTTCTTTATCTGGAATTTCAAATCTTTAATTTTTTTCTTTTAAAAAGCTGGTTTCGATTTGACAGCAATTAATTAGTAATTGAGGAAGTGTTTGATTAATCACAGTGACTGTCATTGTTTTCATTGTGATTGTTACTGCATATTTCTCCTGCAAGTTTTACTCAAAGTTTTTGTGATTCAATTGTCAATAGATTTGTGACTATGATTGGATGGCTTATATCCATTGCCTTATTTGCACTTTTCAATTTCTGCTATGCTCAATATCGCCGAACCATAAACCCACTCGAATTGCGAACAACCAAAGGAGAATTTTTCATTCATACACTTCATTCTGGAAATTTTTTCCCTCAAACAGGTAATAATTTGTTTACTTGCTTTTAATTTTTTGCCATGTTCAAAGACAGTGCTATGGAGAATTGAATCTGATACGATGCCGTCAGAAATATGTCATAGGAACTGTAATGTCCATCTGTATTTTATATCATTAGCAGTGGGCTAACAAGAAATCGTAGTATGTAAATGAAACAATATAAGATTAGTTTATGTTTCAAAGGTTACTCATTCTATGTCTTTCGTTTTTTGCGGACAACAACAGATAATTGTTGCGGGGTGATGGCCTCGTCATTGGCTTATAATCTTTTTTTTTAATAACAAGAGGATACTTTTGAATTTAACGAAAAATATTTATCTTAAGAAGACATCGATGAAGGCGATGTTTTTGCAGTTGATGTTAAATGGTCCGCTTCATTGCAAGGTCGCCCTGCTTTGCCATTATGGTTGCATTTGATGCCCTCTAGACACAAAGCCCTTGGATACTTATATGGTACTGTGGTATCGCCTCTAAACCAAGTTGTTATACATGTTATTGCTCGACGGCTAGATAATTACAATAAAGCGGAACAATACATAACAATATTTTTGAATGATAATGGTAAGATATCTATGGCGTGTACATAAGTGTGTTTTTATATTTCTATTCTGTTTATAATTATATTCAGTTCCACTATGTTTAATTTCTTCTAGAAAAATACAGTAACGCAACACAGCAATTTGCCGAAATTTACATAAAAAATTACAATCCTGAAGATCTTTTAACTGATCGCACTCGAACCATTGATCGGCTCAAGAAATCAATGAAAGAATCATTCAGAGGAAAAGGACTGAATCCATATATATTCCAAATTTTAGCCGCTGGAAATTCACCACCTCAAAATGCCCCACTCAATCTACGCAACAAAGTTGGGTAAGCTATGATGTATTCGGTAAAGTCCATATCTTGCAAACAGTAGCTAATAACAACAATCATAATTCGATTAACGGACTGTTGAGTGCTATTGGGTGTCTATCTTCTTTAACTTCAACAAACCATTCGTTCTAAGGATTTTTTTAAGAAGCATAGTTCGAATTGGTACGCAGAATCGCTTTCATGTGAATGTATTAAATTTGGAACGTGGACTGCAAAAGAATCCGCAATATTGCAGCAGGGATCAGCTCGTACCATTGAACAAATTTTTCTCTCCAGTTTTTCAAATTGATTGGTGCAATTTCCATGTAGTAATCGTTTGCTCGATTGGATTAAGTAAAATGGTTTGAGGGTAACATCGTGGGCTTTTTTCAGAGGAATCATTCAAAGCTATATCTACCTAAAGTAATGACAGACGTGTCGTACTGAACAACCGAGTAATGTCTGGTAGAAATCATTTATTCGCTATTTTTTTTCTTTATTTTTTCAAGATTTTAGCAGTTATGGCAGAGATAAACTGACATGGTAGCGATTCGTCTTAGACAATCATGAAATGAAAAAATTGACAAACTTCCCACAGTTGAAATGTTAACAGTTATTGCAGAAAAATGTAACAGCACCAATTATTCACAGTAACGATGCAGGGCTCCAGCAAAGGTCCATAAAAGTAATGAGACCGGATACCGAAACGGTGCATGCTTCCTACCAGCAACACCAGCCATCTACCTCGTCCATACGGAAAGTGGGAACTCCCGTGTTACACACTAGATATTATTTTTGGGAATCGTTTTTGGTGAGCTGTTCATAAAAAATTTGTTTGATTAGCATTTGTCAGCTTGTTTTTAATCTATGCAGTTGAAAAAGAAAGCCATTGCTAAAGGATGATCATTTAGATGTTCCCGATGTTGGGTGTGTGTTGTATCCTCTTACTTATTCTGCTAAGTCTTATTTTCTTTGGCCGTCGCGAAGGTCAACATTGGAGGGACTACAAAACGCCAAAGTATGCTTTTTTATTTATTACTTTCGCAGTATTGACACGCTGGTTTCATGCAAAACTCACTTAATGAAAAAAAAAGTTCTTTAAGAAGACAGTTGGAGGAATATGCCAGTGTACGCGACAGTCAGCGCCATTTGCGTGAACTTTCCATGCAACGACAAATGCTTTTAATGGCTTCGGACAGGGCACAGTCGCATACTCCACTTGGTTTGTTCCTTTTTCATCATCAAATATGAATTTGCCTAAATTTGATTTTTGATTTTTACAATTTCAGGGATCCATACATTCCTACAGCCAAAATCTCTGAGTCGGAATCCATCTCCAGAAAATCTTCGGCCTGATCCATCCAGTCGTGGTTCTCGATCACCCCTGCTAAAAGGTTCGAGAGCTTATATGAGTACGTCAAAAAATTTTGTTCTTTTGTTTATTCTGCTCGAATGATACATCTGAACCAGGTATTCCGCCTTCAGTCAAGAGAAAAAAATATGGCTTTATAGGGCGTTCCGATGAAACATTTCAGGTACAAGTCCAGATAAAACTTCTGATGGTCATGTCATTCCGATGAGCAAACAAACAGTTGCAGAAGCAGCAAAAGCGTGTGGTTCATCACTGCATTTATATAGGAACCCTTTTGAAAACGATCCAAATGGCAATGCGGAGGAACAGTCTATTGATGGTGGTGGTCAGAATGAGCTAAACGATACGGAACTTGTGGGATGAATTCATTACTCATTGACCTTTTCTCTCAATTGTTACCTGATTTTACGTCATTGATTTTCATGTATAGCTCTCCTCCCTCTGTTTGTACTGGCTTACTGATAGTCCAAACAAATCACACAATTTTATTGAATGCATCGGTAAATCTGAAAGGAATGAATCTTGATCTTATCTTGGACAAGACTGATCACATATTCGATGTGTTATGCACAATAAAGTAATGGCACAATTTTACAATACGGCACCTCTTGACTAAAGCAATATGAATGGCATGAAATAGTGAACTCTAACGAAGAAATTCATCTCTTTGCAGAACAACAGCGCAATTTACTATTGACAATGACTATGAAAGGCACAAAAAGGGAATACAATGATTCCAACATAATTTAGAAATGAGCTTTAATGACGGTAATGAATAGATCAAAAGCAATATGACAACAGTATAGTAATGTCCAGCAGATGGCTGCTATAAGAGGGTAATGAATAATTTTATACATCATCAAAGTCGTCCTCAGTAAGAGATAGAGCTCCTGTATAATCTTCACGGGCAGTACAGAGTACGTTCTCTGGATCTAGTCGTTCCTTTTTCACTTCTTTCCAAATCTCATTTGTCTGCAGGTCACTTAAGACCAAAAAATAATTGCAACAATGATTTTTTGAGAACAAGCTATCTGGTCGCAAAGTCACTTAACCGAAGGATAGCAATGGCAACGAACGCATCAGAAGCTCACATCTATGCGATGCATGGTTTTTCCATTTCCTAGTCTCTTACGAGGATAGATTCAGGTAGACTTCTTGATGAACATCGAAAACATCGTACGCGGCACATATTAAGAGTGAATGGATGATCCTGAGAAACACCACTGAAGGAATACAGGAAAGATACTTCTTTCACTTGACAAATCAAGTATCTCCAACCTCATTTCGCCGAAGTCTTCACCATCCATGTCCGAATTTCCATCGAAGTATCCATCAATCCCACTAACGATTTGCTCAAATTCAAAATACTGCCCATTTGTTATCTTTTTCGGAATTTTTAGTAATTCATTGTAATTAATAAACCTCACGAACTTGCACATAAAAGTGCTTGTTCGCTCAGTTAAACCAGTTATTTGCCTCGTTTTTCTTGAGCACCCACAAATTTTCATTCATTAAAGTAATGCTCGCTTAACAAGGTGACTGAGGCGGGATTCTCCGATAAATCCAAGTTCAAGAGTATTTTGAAAGAAAAGTTTCATTTTCGATGTGGCTAGATTATGCAACAAATGATAGTAAATTCACCAGATTAATTCTGTCATATGTTTTTGCCCTCTGTTTTTGAAGCAACAACATTTTATATTGTTATAGATATGGCTATAAAAGTGGAAAATGAATTCGAAAGTTTTGGAAACTACAAAACAACGAACCAGTCAGCATAAGATAACAATGTTCTCTTTGAGGTTTTACCATATGATCGTCGCTTCCGTTAGCATTAGAATTATTTATCATGCATGAGGGAAAATCTCATTCTGTCGTCATTTTCGGTGCCTTAAAAAAAATTTATGCTAACTGCCTGGATAAAAAAGTCATTCAACGTGACAGCTCAATTTCATTTCTAAAATCCTTATCCTAGTTTCGAGTAAGGAACAAACAGAAATCAGTGACAAACAATTTTTTCAGAACTAGAGAACAAAAATGAAAAAACTAGGGAAGTGCGCTTGAAAAAAAGAGTGATAAATGAAAAGAATTCGAAAAAGTTCGCAAAGAATCTCCGTTGAATAATTTATACATTACGAAAAGCTATCTTCATAATCCTAAAAATTCGAATATCTGTAACATAAGATCAAGTTCGAGAAGCAAGAATGACATGAATATTTCCATGATAGATTCAGTTTCATCTACAATCTTCCGGTCTTCATCAAATTTCATAAGAAGATTATCTATTAACGTCACGGCCGGATGCAAATGTTTTCTTGAATGCTGTTTACGCACTTATAATGATTCCGAATTCCAGCTCATAATGGAATATCTGAACTTCTTTTAGATGTTCACCCACCACCAATTAATACTTAAAAGATAAAAGGAATTTAAAGATCATTTTATCCAGTCCGTTGTAGCTCAATGGTAAATATTATCTATCCCCCACAGGAGTTACAACAAACAATACTTTTCTTCTCTTTTCTCTGTCTTTGAAGGCTAATCTATACAGAATGATTCCTCAAAAAATTTCAGTTGCTTTTTTTATGAGTTACAAAGAGCATTTCCACTCGTACTCCAAAATACGATATGCAGAAGTTGGGTTTTATGAGAATGACGGCGACAATTTCTAGAATGCATAAAGGCACACAACAGTGAAGGCGGATTTTTTTAAAGTGTATCTTATCACGAACAAATTAAAAAGCTGAAAATGGGGAATACACAGAAGAGAGAAAGAGATGGAAACAATGGTACGAGCATCACATTGCTATAAACAGCATGAACTGAACAGCAGAGGGACTAAAATTTCCCGTTTTAAACTTTTTTTTTTTCAAGAATGTGTTGCAGAATACATTTGAATTGTTATGAATAAAGTAGAAATGAAGAGAGTATCGAGCCAACCATACCAACCACTCATGTCAATCCTCCAATCCATACTAAACATCAAGATAATGAGAAAAAAAGTAAAAGAATTAATGGATTATTTAATTCAGTTAGCATATCATATAGCGATAGTAAATTTGATATCAGTACGCATCACTTTTTCTTTCTGTTTTTATATTACATAAAATGATACATATTGTTCTGCATCTAGTTACCAGGCTTTACAGCTTGGAGAATTGTAAGTTTTGGTTTGTTCTTAAGTTGTCTTAATTTAAATTAATCCATTTTTCAAATTACATACCTCACTGGTTACGTAAATAGAATACCATTCTTTGCAAACTCATCACACAACTGATTAGCAAGTTATTCAAATTTTTAACAGTGTTATTTAAAATAAAGCAAAATCAAAGAATTGAAAGGGCAATCACGAACCTGTGCTAATGACATGCATTTGAGCATAATATACGAAGGCTATATAAACCGTGTAGCGAAATAGGTGAATTGATTTTTCCACTAGCTACTTCGAAATCGTTCAAGCCATCCTGAAAATTGCATTAAGTAATTTACGCCCTGATCATTTGGTGTATTTAAATTGCATCACTAAAATGATGAAGGAAAAAATAATCCGGATCTTCGAAAGGAGTTCCAAGAACCATTTTGTAAGCCATAAACGAGAAATTTACAGTGTATGAAATTTACAGTGATATTATCGTACTAGCTTGTAAATCACAGTTCTCACGCAAGTGAGAACTGTGAGGTCCTAATAATCTTGACAATTATTCCATACGTTGATACGCTGTAATAATCGCAAGAAGTTAGAAAAATTTTGACTTGCTATCCTGCAGAAATAAATATTTGCTTGGAAAATCTGCATATTCAGAATATGCAATCAATTTCGAAGTGAGAAATAACAACTTATTCAAGGAGAAATCGACGATGCCTCTCGTGTCTTTCTGTTGGTATCTGTGAGTGATATCGCCTAGCTATTGACTAGCGAAAAGTCATTCCAGTCAGAGATGTCAAGAAATCAAATTATCGCTTCAGCCATGTGGATGGATGTTCATTTCAATAAATGATCATCTAGTGACTCTCTGTTTTGATAAACGTGGTCTCGAATAAAAATGCACGTCTGTTATGATCTTCGGCATGCTCTGCAAGAGGCTCACCATAATGAGAGCCCTCAAACCATTCCCTTTTAATCCAATCATTCGTTAGTTAGAATTCATGATAAGACATTAAAGGAACAGAGTGTTTTGTGAGGTTATTTGAAGATTGCCGGAAACGTAATACACAACCGTTCCGTAAGACATATAATTGCTGTCTGAGTTCATCCGTAGATGAATGAGAGGTGATAAGCATGGATTGACTTCGTGGTATTTTGTTCTCTTCCTACCACATCAGAAGTGTCCTCAATTCGGAACCTCGGCATGATTGCTAAGAACAAAGATGGGAGGACATCAGCAACCCCATGCATATTCTGCCTTTTGCATGCTACCCCCACCATTGAATACACATATGCTGCATGCCATTAGCATGCAATAGTAAAGCTGAACAATGTATACTGTGCAAGACGGAGAGAGCCAAATCGATTACATTTTGCCGTGTCATAAATAAAAATAGCATGAGACAGAGAATAACCCTTTAGCTTTTGCTGTGTACGGAAACTAAGGAAGGAATTAAAAAAAAAGTCTCTAGAATTGCAGGACGTCGTAATACTGCAATGCCATGCTGCAATCCAAGGAAGCATCCAGGAATTCAGAAATGCACTCCTATTGAGGAAAGAGTAAGTGTGAAGACAAAATGGAGGAGAGGGAGGGAAGCGGGGAAAAAGAGTTGTATAATGGTGAGGAAGGGATGGGGAGTGTTGCGGTCGGCGGCTGATGGGTTGCAAGAAGGACGGGAAGATGAAATTGAGGATGGTGCGAGTGAGGGTGCGGTGAGCGTGGCTTCATGGAGGTCGAGAATATCGTCGCCAACACCATCTACATTAAGGCTCGAGAAAGTAAGCTATCTCCTTTCTTTTCTGTTTTCAATTCCATCGGTTCCGTAGTTCCTCCTTTTTCCGTGACAAGAGGCATCCTTGCAGCAGCATCAATCCATTCCGGTTTTCATCATGCTTCTATTCTCACTTCAGCAGCATTAGTCCCTGGATTATGACTTCGATGGGAAGTGAAAAGTACAAGCTAGATGACCAGTCTAACATTTGGGTTGCAAGATTCCAAAATACTTTTAAAAGTCAAAATTTTATCGAAAAGATGAAGGCCACCACTCATTGACTTCCCACTAGCATAGCATTTTGAACCCAGACAAATATTCGAAAAGTGTTTTCAACAAATCGGTAAAATGCAGCGAATATTGCGGTACCTGTGGCCGACAATCATCAGCTAAAGGACCTCATTCTTTCCCATAGCAACAACGAAACGTGTCTTGCATATTCTGCGCTCCATAAGTTGGATGAATAATGCCGTGGATTTTCACACCATGCTTACTAACCTCTGATCAGTCGATTACTACCAAATCATTTCAACAACGTTTTGCAAGGAAAATATTTTCACAGCGAGCAGAATGCACAAAATGCTTAACAAGATTTCCGAAGCATAAATTTATAAGCCACAGGAGCAAGCAGACTTATTTTTCGTTAGCGAAAAATATGTTCATTGTCATAATTTCTATTTCTACTAATAAAAGTGTGCTTGAGCTTAGTTATAATGATTTAAAATTTACGGTCCAAAACTGCAATAAGTTAAGGGATGTGGAATAGCGCATGTGGAGAGTCTACTTCTGAAGATGCGTAAAAAATTCATGACTGTATAAAGATGCCGGAGGAATCGAGAGGAAAAAGGATATGTTTTTTCCGATTCATTTGGCACTTCTACAAAGTCAAACATTCTGAGTTTTTCACTATTGGAATTAAACGTCAAAACGCTGAGTCTGAGATTTCATAGGCAGTTAATATCAATTTGCCTCGAAATTAGGAGATTCTCAAACTACTTCCTTCAGAAACAGCTAGTTACATTTTGGTTTTGTTTGTTTTATCTGTGAGAGGTGATGTGTGTAACCTCTGTTACCAAGGGTACCGAAGTGGAGGGAACCAGAAAGTTTAATGAGTTAGACTTGTGGTGGCGTTATCAACATCTGGAATCATTGAATAGGTAGGTTTTCATGAAACGAATTGATAAATGAAATTATATTGAGAGAACAAGAGATTTTAACCCGCTTGTTAATCCTTTGTTTGTGGATTTTCTTCACTTTAGTGAAGAAATTCGTTAAATAGAGTCCTTCGCTGTGTACGTGTCGGTAAGAGATCGCATTTATGAAAGAAAAGATTCCGAAAGTTGGGTTAAAATTTGAGATGAAACATTCAGTTCCTATTCGTTGGGATGAGGGGAAGAATTCAAGAGAAATGTGATCATGAGCTGACTACCTCTGCCAAATGTCTATTCTGAAAATTTTAGGAGAATTTTCCGATTTACCCCCTGTTAGTAAGAAATATGGAGGTAAAATAGCAGGTATTTTAAGTTCATTAGTCTGATGAAATCGTTTTAGGTTTTCTGTTATGTTTAAGGTTTAAATGGTAAAAAGTGATGTCTTCAGATCGTGCATATTTGATTTGCAAGGCATTAAAACATATTGCGGTAATTCTTTCGTATGTTCTTATCTGGTATCTATAAGTAGTGCTTGTGTCTCTAAGATTTATTCTTGCAGAATTTTGCTCTCGAGTCGAGTGCCGGGGAGATATAAAAAAACTGAACAAATGTGAGTGTTTTAAAAATCAAAATCATCCACTTACTCTCTGGGAGATGTTGTAAATTAATAGCATAATAACAATTTAGGAGTACCCTTATGTGAATTTAATGCACTTAATGTACTTAAACCTATAACCAGAGGAGTCGTTGGAGCGAGAATGGATTAAAATTGAGCAACTAATCCTAGTTATATAATCAGATTTGAAAAAAAAGGAAGTGAAATTTTAAACCTTTTAAACCTGAAGTCCTATTTGTATTTCTGTGATTGTTTATTTGTGAAATGTTTTGGTAATGTATTTCTGTAGTAGATATCTTGCAATTTATATTTGCACTTCATTTTGGGGGATCCATTTGTTAATGAATACTAACATGATTATAAAAAATTCCCTTTTATCCTGTAGTTTCTACAGATTGCTATCTGCAGGTGATTGCCGTCTTTTATTTATTTAAAAACTTCAAAAGTCTATAAATTTAGTAAACGATTTGATGATTGGTCATATCATAGTGCATAATTAAAGCTTAGAAGAAATCGAGTCACCAACAGATGATCTGGAAAGTTTTATACTTAAAAATTAATTTGGATGTTGATTAACATATTTACCGTTGAAAAAAGCGGTTGGAAAACATAGTTGAAAAAGTTGAAAAAAGCGGCCAAATCATCAAAACAATTCACAGTTAATGTTGATCAAATATACTGTTTTTCCTTTTTTAGGTGGTGGTCAAAAGAAAGGAAAAAGCAAAAAGTGGAAGAATTATTTGCAATTCCCGCACTACACAGAATGTTTATACCTCAGGTCGGAGATTGATGTCAGGTAACTGCTCCATTTGTTTAATGCAGTACTTATCCCGACACTACTATGATGTGATATTTTTAATTTATAATTTTGGACTAGGATCTTAAAGTGCGGAGCTTCCAGAAGTGATAATCGTTAACTGATAAGGTAATAATGCATTTGGATTTATAAATAGGTAATACACTTACATTTATAAATATATGGTTATCAGTGAGTTAACAAGCGTTGTCACTTTTGGAAACGATGCAGTAATAAGTATTGATTGCAAAAGTGATGGCGACCTGCGACAGCGAGATCAGATTTCCATTCATTATAATGTCGGCGACTTTGCCATCAGTGGCAGTATTGCTGTTTTTAATCTCCTTTACGTAATTATAGTAGTGTTGTAATCTTCCTTGAAAGTTTTAATTGCTGTTTCAAACCATTGAATTACCCGTATTATCTTATGCTATTGCTAAATAACGTTCATGATAGGTCGTAGAAATTATGATGTGAATTCCCTTGTAATCTATTTGAAGATTTTATGTATACTTTCTGAGTGGAGAGGATTCATTTTGATGGATTTAATGGTATCTTAAATGGCCTCTTGATGATTTTTAGGATAATTTGTGATGTTCTGTAATTAGTAATGTGTTAAGTTGTTTCTAATTAATGGTGTACATTGGCACATTATGCAAGGTTTTCCAAGAAAAGGAAATGTTGTATGCTTACATCTTTATTACTATAGCTGCAGTCATGAGACATCGAATTTCAAATTAAATAGAATAGATGGAGGTACAGATACACAGACTGAAAGCGTTAATTAATGTGATCTGTTACTCTCGGTAGTTTACCTGTACACACATAAACGAACTATGTAATAAACACAACATGAAACAGGTTGCCATTGTCTGTATGAATGGTTTTCTTTTCATCGAATGTTCTTATCTCGGTAATAATCTTTTTGAAGGATCTTCTCCGTTTCCATCTGCGTTTAATCTCTTCGTGACTCCTATTCAATAGCTTGAGGTTTAACAGTTCCATGTTCGAGTTTCTCAAGGTGTGCGCGTTTATCACATTCAGTTTTATTCTGTTTTGCCTGTTTTTTTGCGGTTTTAAAAGAGATACAGGACCTTTGATCGTCTCATTTATTGAGACTTTAATAAGATATACAAGAAGCTGCGTGACGTGTATATCTATCCTAGAAGATCTTGTGACGCTAAATTGCTCTTCAAGATAATGTCTAACAGTTAACGCTTGCCACGCTTTTAGAAGTGAATGCACCTTTTATTAGAAGAATACATCGATACTACCAATGAATTGTTGCAGCTTTTTGCAATCACTTTATCAGCTAGACGGATTGCTAATTTAAGCTGAATTATGAGCAGTCAAAAAAAGTCATCCTTTCGTATACATTCGAAAAGAAGATATATCTTCTGCAGGTACTGGAAAAATATGTCATTGGTTCTGGATTCCAGAGATTTCAAATCTTCGGCTAAAACTTGCCTGTCGTCTAAACGACTTGCTTGCAATGTTTCTAATCGTACATCTTTTTAATTTGAAAAACATTTTAATTCTATTGAAACGTGAACTGCGGTATTTATATCGAAATTGCGAGTATATCATGGAAGATTTGGCGTGTGAATACTGAACATAGTAAGTGGTAAATTAACGTTTTATCTGTTAATCATTTGCAGCTATAGTTATGTGGTCGAAAAGCAGCCAATTGGTAAATTGCTTTTTGAGCAGTTCTGCAACACAGATGCGCGGTATGAAAGGGCATGGACATTTTTATGTAAAGTTGAAGAATACGAAACATCTGATGATGATGGTGAAAGTCGCCGAATATTGGCGAAATCAATTGCCTCGCTTTTATCAGTAGAGAATGACGCACCCTGTGTATGTGTCTCTTACTATATTTTTATGCTGTGTTTTTGTTGAATTTTTTTATGTGTTTATTTCACTTCTTCTAACTGATTTTGTTGGCGCTTTGTTTGATTTGTTTGTTTTATGGCTTTCGTGATTTTTACCTTCATTTGTCTTGATATGTTTGTGCTATTTTTTTCAAATTATGTTATGAGTACCTAAGAGGAGAAGCTGCAGAAGGAAAAATTAAATTTTTATGCTAAACTACAAAAATTTTAAGATAACTGCTGTTAATTTGAATTCATTTTTTTTGATCTTTAATCCAATAGAGTTATTTATTTTTATCATTGTAGTAATAATGTTTTAAATCCCCATGTCATATGTTCTTTTTCTTTTTTTTTGCAGGCATCCAGTGATTCATTATGGTGCAGCTTCTTATCGGAGGATTTTATGCAGAGATTTACTTCCACTGCCAATGATGCGTCGCAAGAATCTGAACCGTCGAGTGGCATATTTTTCGAAGCATACAAGTTAGTTTTCTGTTTTTCTTGAAGAAAACGAAAGTAAATGAAGCTATTGGACATAATTTGCTATCCGACGAATTTTGAGATTTTTATAAGTTGCAATTTATGTTCTTGTTTCCCACATATACCTTCCCGCATTCAAAGTCTGTGAAATAAGGTTGTTTTAGATCCAGTTGTATTCAATACAACTTTATCAGCTATGACTTCGGTGTAGACTTTGATGGACAACTGCAAATTCCCTATTTGTGGCCGTCCGTCAAGGCTCATTTCCTTCATCCATCCATCGGTTACCCTGCTGTCTCAGGATTCAGCATGATAATTGAGTATTATTCTTTCTATTGTTGATAGTTATATGAAGATATACTGATATATTTCAGAAGTGTGCGGTCATTCCTTGCTGATCGTTCTTTCCGAAAATTCTTGGAAACGCGTTATTTTCACCGTTATTTACAGTGGAAATGGTTGGAGAAAAGGCCTGTGGATAAGCACACATTTCGCCTATACCGGGTACTTGGAAAAGGAGGTTTCGGAGAAGTTTGCGCTTGTCAAGTATAGTTTTCCTGTATTCGGTCTTTTCTCTTAGTCATTATTTTCCGTCAGAGCAAAGCGCTTCGATTAAATATTATATATTTCTTTGCACAGCATAACAGTTGCTGTTAAAATATGCTTGACGGTTTTCTCCTCCTTTTTTTTGTTGGATGTAGGAGACATGTTTTCCGGCTATGCTTCAGTTCTGGATGATTCGACATTATTTGATTTTCCCCATACTCCTTTCTGTTTTTCAGCAAATCAAATCGTATTTTTTGTTCCATTACGTGTTATAAAATGTGCTATTTTTAATTCATGAAAATTCTTTTGGCATGGAACTTCACTAAGCTTTTTTGATATGGAATTTTATGGAAGACGCATCGTGACGGAGAGAGAGTTGTAGGTTTCTATCAGAACTGTTGAGAAATGTTAACCCCAAAGATAACAACAGTTATCATTTACTGCTGACGTTTCTGGAATATGAGAGAATAGGACTGCTACATTTTGAAAAATTTTAATAGAGCTTTTTGTCTAAAATTTGATTATGACTGCTTTGTTTAGAAAAAGATCGCGTTCAAGCGAAAAGCTGGGAAGAAATGGAACCTTTCAGGTACCGAGGGGTCATTTTCACGACATACTGTCAATTCAAGAATAAATTTGTGTAGTAGCAAATGTAGAAAAATGATTCTAGAAAAGGCCGCGAGAAAATCGTGCCCAACAACTCGAAAATTCATTGCAAAGTCATTTCATGGAAGTTTTCCTTCAGTCAAAAATGGTTTTTTATGTACTTTGCTCATTATTGCTGCATCTTGCCGAAAGATTTTTCTTTTTTCTAATCGAAATTTTATATTCACTCTGTACTTCACCTGCAGAGCTCTTTGTTCCAACAGAGGCTGAATTCCCAGAAATTTCCTTTTTTTTTTTTTCACCTGATGCTTAACTGTAGTATTTCGTAGCTCATGAAGAGTTACGAATTGGTAATTCATGGAAATTTTGTGTCGCAACATTTGTTGTAGTAATTTGGTGGTGCTGTGATGTGCCTGCAAAAAACTGTTCAAGAAAAAATTCAATAATTTGAAGGATAAGATATTTAGACAATTCTTTTTATCTCCTTAACTGTTAATTTTTTGCAGGTCAGAGCTTCTGGAAAAATGTACGCTTTGAAAAAATTGGAAAAGAAGAGGGTGAAAAAGAGGCATGCGGAGGCTCTCAGTCTAAATGAAAAGCAAATCCTGCAGAAAATCAATTCTCCGTTTGTGGTTCGTCGTTTTCAGCGATGCGTACTTTCTTGAAAAAGTGAACTTTGCTCAGTTTCTTCAAATTTCAAACTTGGAAAAGAAGAGGGTGAAAAAGAGGCATGCAGAGGCTCTCAGTCTAAATGAAAAGCAAATCCTGCAGAAAATCAATTCTCCGTTTGTGGTTCGTCGTTTTCAGCGATGCGTTCTTTGTTGTAAAAGTGAACTTTGCTCAATTTCTTCAAGGATACAATTTACTGTTCATGTTCAGTTTTTCATGTTATTTTTATACATATTTTTGTGTTGGTTTTTTTATTACTAGAGGGGAAAATTTCCACACGAAAGGCTGAGTGGAGAGGCAATAATAAGTGGTCTGAATGAGAAGCAATGAGTTGAGCGACGGTAATAGGTGAAATATATGATACTGAAAATCTTATTATCAATTGCCTATGCAGAAGAAAGTTTAATTGTGAAGATGAATTGACGA